TAAAGGACCCCAAAACCCTATTCTCATCCTGAAAGCCCCCTACATGAATGATTTTGTGATCCTTGAACGGATAGGTTCTGCAGGGTTTATTTGAAGGGTGCAGGGAGTATGGAGCTTAAGGTTTTGGGGTATTGTCTGGGAGGACCGCTTTTGGGAACGGTTGAGGAGTTCCAGGACCCCCCAATGGCCCTTTAATAGAGCCCTTATGGTCCTTAATAGTGGGTATTTAGGGTATAATAGAGGGTAGTTGGGGGGTGCTGGTTAGGAGTTTTGTAGGATGCAGAGTGTTGTTTCGTTCGCAGCCACACAGGCGCCTACTGCTTGAATGAAGCAGGGTTTCGGGTTATAGGGTTTAGGGTTTAGGGCTCAGAGTTTAGGGTTTAGGGTCTAGGGTTTCGGGTTATAGAGTTTAGGGTTTAGGGCTCAGAGTTTAGGGTTTAGGGTCTAGGGTTTAGGGTTTATAGGGGCGCTGTTGCGTGGCACACCTGTCCGCGACATGACGCGTTAAACTCTGATCAGCTCTACACCCTAAAACGTACCCCTAAAGCGTACATGTCCAATCCTCAGCCGAAAGCTTGAATCGCTCTACTTCCTACACCACTAAACTTTAACTCCCTGAACCCTAAACCCCTGAAACCTAAACCCTAAACCCTAAGCCCCTATAAACCATAAGCCCTAACTCGGGATTCCGCTTTCGGGAGCTCTGGAGCTAGGACTTCTTCGAGGTCCTCGTAGGGTTTAGGGTCTTAGGGTCTTAAGGTTTTAGGGTTTGCAGGGTTTAGGGTTTAGGGTTTGGGGAATACTTGGACCCTAAGAAACCTGAACCTAATATAGGGGCCTAAAGACATACCAATACCATTTTGGAGGTTCCTTATTGTAGGTATAGTATAATATACCCCTATTCTAATTACGAAGGCTCCTATATTACCTTTTTTCGAGCTCCTTAATATGATTTCCTTACATAAGTCAGTAAAAAGAACCGTCAATGTATGTGTGTGGGTGTGTGTGAATGTAGATGTATATGGAGAGACCAGAAAGACAGATAGGCAGATAGCTAGGCGGACAGGCAGGCAGATGAACAGACAGACAGACGTTCAGACGATGTAGCAAGCACTGCCTCTCATCGACGGCGACAAGATACATCAATCGCGAAGGCTCAGCAGCATCTGCCATAGAGAGAGCTGACTTGGCCAGTCATTCTTTCGTCAGCAGCCTGCCACAAACGGCACACTTGATCTGATTATTCACGGTAGCCTTATAGGAACTTTATAGAAACCCGTATAGAACCCTTTAAGGAACACTGAAAGGGGACCCTACTCTAGCATGGAGATGACATGGTAGGGCCTGGGAAGGGATGTTGGCCACCGTGTTCGGAGCCCGCCGCAGAGCCCGGAAGGCTCCGCCCAAGGGGAAGCTGCCGCCTGAGGTGCTGCGAAGCTCCGAGCCCGGGACGGAGTGCCGCCAGAAATTTCGGAAGCGGAAGCGAACCGCTGAGTTTTCGGCGGCCCCGGCCGAAACCTCAACTTCGAGCCCTCCACCCCCTGCTGTCCCTCCTGCGACTACTCAGCAGTATCCTTGTTTACTTTCTTGTCTTTGGTTCCTTGCAAAACCTAGGTAGTCCGAAAAAGGTATGCTTAAAGGTATGCTTATACTATAAGACATGTACCATTTCCCAGTGGGCCAGTGAACAGCCTAGGAGTCGAAGGGGAGCAAGACCAGCGGCGCTGCGCGGCGGCGCCAGGCGAAGGCTAAGGCCAAGGCGGAGGCAGAAGCTCAGGTGCCCGTGGAAAAAATGGGTTTAGGGTTTGGGGTTTAGGGTTCAGGGTCTAGGGGTTTAGGGTTCAGGGTTTAGGGGTTTAGGGGCTTAAGGTTTGGGTTTTAGGGTTTAGGGGGCTTAAGGTTTGGGGTTTAGGGTTTAGGGGGTTTAGGGTTTGGGGTTCCAGGTGCCTGTGCAAGCCGTCGAAGCCGATGCTGGGGAGGCGCTCCCTGGTACGCACGCTGGTGTTCTTTATGTAACCCAGAGGGTCCAAGTACCCAAACAGTAGGGTTTTACGTCCCAAATTCCATATCCTGAGTGGTTTTTGGCACCTGAAACCCTACTATTTGAGTACTTGGACGCTTGGGGTAAATATCAGTAGTCATTTAATATTATAACAGTTCATAATCATAGTTGTCATCGCATTCATAAGCACCATCATGGTAACAATGGCAATAAACGGTAACCATGCTAATCTGGGCATACAGTTTAAGATACGGTTTTGCCAATTCAGGCTCGCATCTAAATGTCTTCTGATTGCTTGATCTTTCAAAGGTCCTACGTTTGCTCTCATTCGCCTGACTACGACTTGCAACTATACTCTGCCTGTTTCTCTCCATCTATACCGATATCGATATCCATATCCATATCCATAAAGTAGTACTTCTGTCAACTCTTGCAGCACGTCTTGCTTAGCCGCAGGGGTCCTCAGCCCTGAAGCCGTAGAGCCCGAACCCCCCCCCCCCCCCCCAGGCAAGGAATGTAACGTAAGCCATGCAGGGTTTGGGTTTGCAGTAGGGGTTAGGGTGTAGGGGCCTCGTCTTATGATATAGTTTTGCATTATGGCGTATTGAATTTTGCGAGAACCCTGCTCGTAAGCCTTCTGCTACATGCATCCACGACGAAGTTGCTGTAGGAACTGATAGCATCTAAGGCTCTCCCAGGCAGCATTGAATGCGGCATCTTGGCGATATTTTTTGCCAGGCAACTATAGGGTCTTTGGGACTTTGGTTTTTGCTCGAAGATAACCCGGATTGAGTTCACTTAGGCCAGTGGGGCTTGTTCTAGATACGCCAACCTATTTTAGAATTTTCGAGAAGGTTGATCCCTCCTAAATTCTAAACTCTACTCCCTAACCCCTAAA